GAACGCGGCCCCTCCTCCACCACTGTTCGTCCCAACTTGCGAGGAGAGTAGAGCGTTGAGAACCTGTGCTTGAGAGCTAAGTTGTGCTTGCGAACTTAGTTGCTGCTGCTGCTGCTGCTGCTGCTGGGAATGTTGCTGTTGCTGCTGGGGATTTAGTAGCTGCTGCTGCTGCTGGTTGATGAGATGCTGTTGAGAAAGGCCTGTTACTTGTGGAACGCTCGTGAGCTGCGCTTGTGCCAGCTGCTGCTGTGGACTGGGATGGTTTAGCGGCTGTCCGACTGGTTGTAGAGAATTCACTGCCATCTGTTGCTGGGAAGTCATCTGTGTCAATTGCTGCTGCTGCTGCTGTTGCTGCTGCTGCTGTTGTTGTTGCTGCTGCTGTGGCTGCTGCGTGTTTAGTTGCTGAGCATTCAAGTGCTGCTGCTGCTGCTGCTGTTGTGGCGTCTGCTGTTGGAGCTGCTGCTGCTGCTGATTAAACTGCTGCTGTTGTGCGGCGGCTTGTTGTTGCTGTTGCTGCTGCTGCTGGTGCTGTAGGAGCTGTTGGTTCATGTAATACTGCGCAGCCATGTTGGAAGCTGGCGTTTTCGGAGGTCCCATGCCAGGACTCGGCACAGCACCTCGCATAACACCCAAGTTCCCCCGCTGTGCTGCCAGCATATTCAATCCCCCCGTCGTACCGAGGCCAGCGGTCATGCTGTTCCCCATGAGCCGAGGAGCTCTCCCCGCGGCCGCGAAGCGCTTTTGCTGCATATACTGAGCGTGAGCCATGTTGCCCGGACGGAGCTGCTGGTTCATTAAGTTTGGAACCTGTCCCATGCCCAGTCCCGATATTCCAGCCGCGCCAATGTTGCCAATCGCACCCATGCCAGGCACGTTGTTCATGGGATTCATCCCCACCATGTTGAGGTTGGCTTGTCCAGGCCCGATACTCCCCATGCTGTTCTGGAGCATAACTTTCCGTTGTAGAGCGGGATTGTTGCGGATGAGCTGGTACGGCATCATTGATCCTGGCAGCTGCGACGTGATCTGGTTCATAAGTTGCGGCCTCTGCTGGAACTGTTGCTGTTGCTGCAAATGCATTTGCTGCTGTTGCTGAGCTACAAGCTGCGAGTCGATTTGCTGCAGTGGTTTAGCGGCTGTTGACTGAGGCAAGTTGTATGCAAGTCGGTTGCCCGCCATGTTTGGAGGTGGCATTCTCGCAGCTGCTGCCATGGCTCCGCCTGCGGACATCTGCTGCTGCATCTGAGCCATCTGCTGGCTCATCATCATCCGTGGAGAAGCTAGCTGCTGCTGACCAAAGGTTGACGCTCCAGCGGGCATGGGCCGAGCCATAGCTGCGGTCATTGTTGCGGAACCACGGGGACCCGACGGAGCTTGTATATTGTCGTCCATCAGTACAAAACCTTCCTTTTCGAGCTAATATTTCAATCTAACAGTCAGAACTTGGCTCCAAAAAGTAAAACAAATAGTTACCGTATCTATGTATTGCTTGGCAAAAAGGTCTGCCATGTCCTGCATTGTAAACAAAAGTAGAGGTCAGTCTCATTTCAAGAAACCATAGCAACTTACCGCGTTAGGTATTGTTGGAAGAACAGTATATGGAAGTTGGCCATTATTTACGTCATCTTCTTGGCCGTCATCTATCTGTACAACAGCTTCGACCATGGGGTCCTTGGCACGCCCGCAAAGTAGAAGCCTCAGCTTTGTAGTGTGTACAATGACTGGATACGTTTGACCTCCCAGCACTGCTCCACAAACTATATCAGCAGGTGATCATAAACCTGGAAATGAACTTACTTTGGTACTTACTTTGGTAAAATCGTTCCGTCCGCTCAAACATTAGACAACGAGTTTTCTTTCCGTTGACATTACCAGCCACCAGAGAATTAGCCAGACTTTTCTTCCCTTTAGGCTCTTGGTAGTCATCCGATGTATCCGCCAGTGCCACAGACAGCAACTGCCAAGAAGGCGTCTTCGTCGATGGCTGTGGAAGCTGATCAACCTTCTTTTCCCTCTTATGCAAACCGTGTCTGCAAAACAGGCTTAGTGCCACTAAGTAAACAAGGAAAAGCAAGGCACCTTTGAATGGACGAAACCAAAAGAGAAAGCCTATCCAAAGCCTCCCTTTCCGGAGTTGGAGCAGCGACAGGTGGAACTGAAACTGGAACAGATGCCGAAACTGGAGGAACCTGAGGTGGCTGTGGCTGATAAACATGAGGCTGCTCAATCTTGACGGGTCCTGGACTTTTCACTGGAGTGCTCGGGCTGTTCACATTTGGTGAAGCCATGTTTCCAGTGGCTTTTGACGCAGCTGCTTTGTTCTGATAAGCTGCACTCTTCCACTTGAACATGTCATCTTTCCTGGCATTCTTGAAATCAAAGGCTGCAGGTTTCGGTTTCTTATTTGCTTCCAGCTTCACGACCGGCTCCCTTTCTCTCTTCCCAAGAACGTCGTATAATAGAGGTGGAGGCGCTGGTGGCTGAGAAGCGTTTGTAATTTTCGATTGCACGCCACCGGCGGCCAGATCCTGAATGATTTCCACAGAGTGGTCCGACTTTGTCTCCCCTGCAGGCGTGTCTACTTTGTCGGGGCTTTTAAAGCTTTCGTGTCTTAGCAAAGACCTTGTAGCGGCCAAACGAACACGCCTATCCATCAGTGCAGTTTTAGAAGTCCTATAACGGCGAGATCCAAGGCCGATGTTGAATTTCAGCTGCAAGAAAATGACAAAACTTGTAAAGAGGATGCTAGGACAATTTTGAAACAAAAACTCTACCCGATTGTATGTATGAACATGAGCTCTGGCAGCAACCGCTGGTGAAGGATCAAGACAAAGAGATGGCTTCACTGCTTTCAGTACTTTTGATTCCACTTCCTGCACCATCAAAGTGATCATCATGTTCCAAACAACCAAATGCGTACCAGAAGATCCCTGTAAGACCATGTTTCATCGCTCATGGCGACGACGTCCTTGACAATTGTCTCCGTAGATGGACGAAGTAAGACTTTATGCACTTTTGGCTTCCAGTTTATCAGTTCCTGCCTTGCAAAAGTCGAGGGTACACTGTCCCGATAATCCCTTAACTGGAAAATGCTTTGTTAGTAGAACACCAAAACCAATCCAAGATGACTGACTGACCTCGCAAGCAACGCAGCCATCCATATATGTGCAGGGAATGTCTTCCAGCATTTCACTGGGAAGCCATCCACAATCAATTGCCTGGTACACAAAAAAATTCCATGAAAAGCTCTTGAGAGAAAAATAGATAAATCAGAAATACCCTTAGGAAGCTATCACTTGTGCGATCATATGGATAGACAAGCTCTGGAAGCTCGTATCCAAATGGAGGAGGCTTTCCGTCCTCAGTGGGCTTTCCAATCGAGAACCCATCAGGAAATAAATTCACAGAAAACGATGGATCAAAATTATCTAAGCAACAGCACAAAGAGAAGTGAGTCAGAGAGAAAGAGAAATTTCCTTACCACAATGGGAATCCTCTCCCTCGGAAGTCGTCGTGCTTCCCTGGTTTTTCCCACGCAACATCTACCATAATCAGACCCGGCTCTTGGCACCAAAGGGGGGAAATTCCAAGCAAAATCCTCACCTCGTCCCGCTTGAGCTTCGTTCCATTGTTGCTGCTGCCTCCATCGCCTCCGCCTCTCGAAATTGCCGACGCTGCCGCCGGATCCTTCCTCTCCAGCTTGGGCATGTAGCGCGATCCATTCTTGTTGAGCTTGAAGGCGATCACCATGTCGACGACGGTAGCAATGCAGCTCAGGCGATCGCCAATCCAGCCCCAGCGCGCCGCGGCGGTCCTCTGGCGCTAGCATTAGCCAGCGCCATGGGCAAACAAGAACCCTAGAAACCCTAGTGGCGGGATCCGTACTACTTCGCACCTCGTCCGTACCAATATTTTATTGTCGTAGTAAAAGTATATGTATGTACACCAAAGAATATAAGATGATCTTATAGCCTTCGCAGATTATCCAGGCGAGCTTGGAGATCACTGTCGATTCCAGCATCGTCTCCGGACGCTCCAGTGGGCTGGGCTACTCTTCCTGGAGCCGAAGTTTCCACTGGAGCAGCGGTGGAATTCGCAGGAGCACGAACAAGCTGCAAGAAAATTTCATCCAAAGATGAGAGACTTGCTCTGAGCTGCGAGAGGTAAGTTACCTGTTGATCCAGATCGATGCCAATCTCATCCAGGACCTGGCTCACCAGTTCTTCGGTTTCCTCCTCCTCCTCGTCCCCTTCAAACGCCTCCTCGAACGCGTCGTCAATGAGCTCCGATGTGAACTCCATCTTCTCGTTCTGGAGCTCGAATTCACGCATGATCTTCTGGAGAGCCGGTAGATTCAGCTGCTTGTTCATCTGTGACATCGCCTTTGTCACGCCTTTCATTGCATCCGCCATAGCTTGCGTCGATTTCAGTGTCTGTAAAAATCCTCCTTTTTAGAAAACATACAGTGCGACTTAGCGAGTACCTGGATTCGGAGAGACACGCCTTGAAGCTGCGATTTAAGTCCGTAAAACTTTGTTATTTGGTGCCGGGTTCTGATCAAATCCTTCGCCATGACCTTCACAGCACTCTAGAAACAAACGCGGCAAACAAAAAAAGAAACTTTGAATGAAAACGCGTCCGCCAAGAAAAAACTCTCGCAAATTCACATACCATCTGCCCTTGCTTTGCAGTCTTCTTGATCTCGGCAATCAGCTTCTTCTCTTGAGTCTGGAGATTCTGCCGCTCCCGCTCGATCTCCCGGATCGATTTATCCAGCATGCGCTTGTTCTCGCGCAGCAGCTCTGCGCCGCCACATCGTGAGCTCAAATTCCACTCAGAAAACCATCACCCACCTGCTGGCGTCTTCTTCTTCCCAAAGAGAAAACTCATCGTTGCGCCTAAAGAGGAAGGAAAAGGAAAGAGCAAAACCTAAGAGATCGTGGCATTAGGGCTGACGTACCTGGCATCTTCGTAGAACCTCTTGGGCATCTTTGGCATCACCGGCATATCGTAGCGAGTCCGCAAGACAAGCGTAGTGTTCCAGCCTTGGCTCGATGTTAAAGCTCTCGACCATCAAGGCAAGGATTTTTCCACACTCTTCGGGACTTTTCCGCGGAAGAACGCTGAGAAACGTTGAATCGTCGGGTAAAAATCCCTCCCTGTTCATGAGATGGAAGATCATCGAAGTTTGCAACCTTTCGCGAGCGTACCTGGCGATGATAATGTTCCAGGCAGCAGTGCTTCGAGCACTCATCTCCGAAAACACCCAGCACGTCTCCGCAAGACTTCCCTGCGCCGAGAACATCCCGAGAGCTTCTGCCTGGATTGGAGCACTGGAGAGTAAATCTCTGCAAAGTTCTCGATAGACGAGTTTACCTCGAGAGAATCCTTCCGCGCTGTTGGAGCACGCTCGGAAAATCGCAGTGAGAGCTTCGTCGCTGGGCTGGAATCCTTCGAGCACCATCGCGGCGAGGAAAGTGATGCCATCTCCAGCATGCCCGCACCGAGCATACGCAAAAACCATAGAGTTCCAGGAGCGCTCGTCGCGATGCTGCAAAGAATCAAACAAGGCCTCAGCACCAACGAGATCACCAGTAGCACCATAGGCTCTGATCAACTCACCGCTCACTTGGTGTTCTTTCTCTGGCAAATCCTCAAAGAGAATCCGGGCTTGATCCAGATACCCGTGCTGGGCATACGCCACGACCATGGAGCTCACTGCAATCTCGTCTCTAGACACCATCTCCTGGAACACTCTCACAGCTCTGCCAATATCTCCATCGCGGGAGTAAGCAGTGATCATCAAGCTCCAAGTTACCGTGTCCCTGGCTTCCATAGATTCCAGCGTTCTCTCGCAATCTTCCAAGCTCTGGCACGCCGTGTACATTCTAAGCACCGCGTTCATGACATGGAGGTTGGCGCCGAGGCCCCTCTCAAGAATAAGACCATGGATCTCGCTGCCAAGCTTCACATCCATCAGCAATCCAAGAACACCGAAAATCGTGACGAACGTACCGATCATTGGAGGAACTCCATCGAGCAGCATCATCCTGAAAATCTCAATCGGCATGTCGAGATTCCCATCGCCGCTGTGGCCGAAAGCCGCGATCATCACATTCCAAGACACGGCATTCCTATCCGGCATCGCATCCAGGAACTCCATGGCTTCGTCAAACCGCTGGTTCCGCGCGTACACCGTGAGCATGATCGTCCATGACACGGCATTGCGGTCCGGCATCTCGAGGAAGAGATCCCGCGCTTCTTGGAAGAACCCTAGCCTCACGAACGCCTGGAGCATGGTGTTCCAAGAGACAATATCCCGATCTGGAATGCGCTCGAACAGCTCGATCGCCGGGTGGAGATGCCCGTTGCTCGTCAGCGCCGCGAGCAAGCAATTGTAGGACCACGTGTCGGGATCCTTGATGCTCTCGAAAGCGATCTTCGCAAGATCCAGGCGCTCGCATCTCCCATACATGATCACGAGCTCGCTGGCCAGGAATCGGTGACCAGAGTAGCCGCGAGAAGCTAGATGCGCGTGAATCCGCTGGCCCTCCTCCAGCGCCTTTGATCTGGCGCACAGCCTCATGAACGCGCGATACAGCAGAGGATCCAGCGCTTGAAGCTCCCATCGCTCGAGCAGAGCCACTGTTCTCTTGATCCGGAGCGTGTCCTTGAGAAGCTGGAGGCGCTGCTCGAGTGGCCGGGCCTCCGCCCGATCTCGCAGCTCCTCCTGGACGATAAATCCATCTCCAAACCTCTCAAGAATCCCCAAAATCGAGGCCGGGGGCACATTGCGCTTCACTGGGAGGAAGAGCTTCCCCATTTTTAGGGCAAACTGGTATCTTATTCATATATTTAAGGATATTCTTTGATAACGTAGAAATATTTATTGCTGGTTTAATTGTACTTGATTAATTGCCAAAACACCCAACATATAATGTATCAGCTGGTTTTTCAATTTGATGATCAAAATACCATTATAAAAATGTCCTAGGTAGGACAGTTCATGTTTAGGGTTGGGATTAGTTAAAACATGTTGTCTGTGTATCAAAAGAATTGAGCAATTGCCAATTTGGCAAGGTTTTACAAGCAACACAAGCAGGCTGGGTTGAGAGGGTGAGTTCCTCCTACTAGGGGATCTAAGCTGAAGAAGAAGATGATATGGAAAAATGGAAAAAGAAATGGTGCTGGTTTTTGACGAGGAAAAAATTATTCTATTTTTATTTATAAATCTTATAACTCTATAGATCCAACAAGCAATACAAAAGTCTTTTATGTTCTAAAGTGAGGTCTAAACAAGGTGATCAAATATAATAAGATCCCCAAAATTAAGAGTCAGAAGATGGAGAAGCTTCTCCATTAGAGCAAAATGGTGCCTAATTCATAGATTGAAGGATATTATTTGTTTAATGTTAACATATTTAAAATTACTATTAATATTTTTAATAATTTCTATCAGCTAATTGTTAATATTTATTTATATTAATTTTTTACTTCTTTTAAATTTAATTAATAACACATAGTTATAAGCTATCATTTTAACAAACCTATTTTATAGAACTTGATATTATTTTCCACTTTTATTTTCTCTAAAATTCTAAAATGTCTCAAATTTTTCTAATATATAGTAGCTGGATTTGATGATCATGTACACTATATAACAATGTACCAGACACCTTTGTAAGTGGCCGGTACCATTTGAAATTTTTAGTTCAACTTAAATATAGAAGGGTATAGTGCTGCATACACTATTTTTGCAGATTGTGATGTTAAAGTTAGCATGACTAGCTTAGGATAAAAGCTAGACTCTTTATACAAGCCCTCAAATTCAATTAGCAGGCTAAGAACACAAGAATCAAGATTTAAGACAAGGGAAGCTCGAATAAAAAATCATGTCTCTTGAATAGTGTGAGATAAAGTTTTCTCCTTGGATTTAGAGACACCATTAGTCTATATCTAGTACTTTCCAAGACAACATGAGCCTTGTGCTTTGACATTGTTATTCACTCAACATAAGAATCATGCTTTGAATTGTTGTTTGGCAAAAGCAGCCACTAGTTTAAGATGAAGATGTTATGTTAGGTAATATAAAAAAAAAATCGGAAATTTTCTTTATAAAATTATAATGCAAATTATTATTAATATAAAAACCATGACAAGCTTGCAAAGCTATATTTTCTTTTTACTTCACAGTCATTGTGGAACAAATAAATAAACAGAATAGAGCTAGGCTCTTATTAAGTGAGAGACTTACATGGTAGTGAAGAGTGCTCTTGAGAAATTCATTTGGCACATGTCTTGATTCCTTCCCTTTCCTCTTGTGAATCAGTGCCAGGATCTTGCCCCATAATACAATAGCAAGATAAAGATCTCTTAGAATGAGACACAAAGAGAGAGAGCCTATGATCACCCCTTCTAAAGACCAAATGTCATAAATTAGTTTCTAGATTCCGTCACCACCCATTAGAAGTTTTAAAATATTAACCATTTGATTAATAGCATATTCACAGATCTTAAATAATTAATCAAGATCAAATGTGACTCTCAAGAACTAGATCATGCATATATAAGATTATGCAATTGAGCAAGGATGTATTCAATCTGTTATATCTGGGTATCAAATGAAATTGCCAAGTAATAGTCACTCTAGTTGGAGCAGAGAGTTTTCATTGCAACTTGCAAGTTCCATAATATCTAGACTCCCTTGAAATTTGCCAATGGTGTTGTAGTTTGCCAAAAATGTTTTCACCATCCTTAATCAATGTTTATACAATTTTCTGATCATTTTGCTCATTTACCTTTCAAAGAGGGAGCTATGCAGCTACACTGTCATTTGGGCTATCTCCAAAATTGTTAATTACTACAAGCTCATCAGCATGTGTTCAAACACTGGAAATCCTATAGATAAACTATATATGTATATAGTTTTATTAGGTATTAAATTTTGTATACTATTTTTCTTAAATATATTTTTATTTATAATTAAAAGTTTTTAATATAATTTCTATTCTATATATAAAAAATGTCTTGTAAAATATTATATAGTATATAAACTAAAATCATATATATTTATTATCATTTTCATTCTATTAAATAAATATATATAAATACTAGATATTTAATTTAGAAAATAGAAGATTTTAAATTAAAAATATTTCTCAGCCATACTATAAAAGGAACATCTAAAGATTTTATTTTAAATGTTAGGGTTTGGAAGCAAGTTCTCTCACAGCACAGCCACACAATGTCCACAACACTGCAGCCACACCACTCATACCACAGCCACCAACAGCCGCTAGCAAAGCTCCCACAAGGTAAGGGTCTCCACTTAGGAGCAAGGCATGACATTGAAATGTCAATCACAGATTTGGGCTGGGATCTAGAGCATGGTAGGAAGATCTAGGGCCATAAGAGGAGGGTAGGCCACTCTCCTTGCTTCTATACACTCAATAGATCTTTGATAGGGTGGCTTGCTTCAATGTTGGAATTTGCAATATGACCCTCAAAGCACATGTTAAACAATGTTGAGTAGAGCACGATGCCCTCTCCCTCTATAGTGAGAGCCATATACAAAGGACAAACTAGGTGTAAGCTACTGAGTTTGGACTTCCCAGGAGGTCACCTAGCCCAGTACTATTCAAACCCAAGGACACTTAACCTCAAGTATCCCAAAACCCTTAACCGATTGGAAAAGGGGGTGCACTTTTATTCATAGGCCCTTTCCCTCTATATTTGAACCCCATGGATCGTCTCTCAAGTCGTTCTCTTTAGTTGCTTACACTAGGCTAAAGCCAGAAAAAAAAAAAAACAAAAAGGAAAGCCAAGGTTGATTGGTATAATGCTTTCTTTTTCATTTCTTTCCTTTAATTCCATACGCTTTTTATCACTTCTATTTTTTATTTTTTGTCTATCCACAAGCCAGCTGAGTTGTGACACCCTACCTTAAAGCACAACTTCTCCAACAATCACTATGGAGAAAATGCTTGAGGACCTTGTCAAGTTCTCTCCTATCCTCGATCAAAATAAATTTCTTTCTTTTAAGTAAGACCTTTCTTTCTACTCTTCTAGCTTTCTTGGCTATAACGAACAAGAATTGCTAATTTATTTTCAACTCATCAACTGTCTATGGCTAGAAGTAGAGGGCAAGAAGGTATGGCTGACCATTGTGACTCTCAAGACTCTTAGCAAAGGATTTCAGTCAAATCATAGTGTTTTAAAGCTTTTTGTGTTGATTTATTTTTCCTTTTAGGTGGAAGCTACTGCCTTTTGCCAAGAACTTCATCGAGAGGTACTCTAAGACATAAGTCCTTAAGTTTCAAAATGGAGCCAAAAGTGTGCCATATAGCAATGGTTGAAATAGAATTCCAATGAGTATATCATATTTGAACCAAAAGTTTTGACTCAAAAAGTCAAGAGTGGGAGTGAAACTCTTAAAAAAGTACTCAAGAAATGAGCACAAAATGATCAATAAATGAGTTTCTATAAAGGGACACAAGAAAGACCAATATATAACATGTGTTATAATAGATGGAAATATTGGGACCAAATCTAAGATCAAGTTTGAAATCAAGTTCAAGACCGAGTTTGAGATGGAAGTTTAGACCAGGTCCAAGATGGAGTCCGAAGCTAAAGCTAAGACTGGGTCTAAGATGGAGTCTGAGTCTAAGACCAAGACCAAATCGAAATCAAGACCAAGTGCAAGTCTAAGTCTAAGTTCAAGTTTGGGTTCAAGTCCAAGTTTGAGTCCAAGGGTGAAACCCCAAAACAATCATCTCCTAAAACTTAGGGGATTTAGTAAATCTCTATAAGATAATAGAGGGAGGGACCCCATTGGAATCAATGTGGCTAATGAAGACCAATGTGACCAACGAATGTTATACCCATATAGGGATGATGATATGAACATTGGAAAGTCTAAGGCTAAACTTGACATAAATGGATAAATGGGATAATTTAGCGTGAAGTGTTCAAGAGTTAATTTTAGCTCTCTTGGGGGATCAAATGGTTAATACTCCTAATCCAAGTGTGGGTGGCACTATTTTGTGTGGATTATAAAAACCTCACTTTAGTTATATAGCTAGGGCACCTTAGCGGCAAAAGGTGGGGGGAGTACCCACAAAGCTCATGTTATGCTATGGTGTTTTAAAATGTCATCCTAAAATTCTAAATTATGAAAAGGAAGAGGAATGGTTCTTTTGCTTGATGACCAAGAATATAGTTATATGATGAGGAAGTCTTAGAAGTTAATGGGACTTCCAGCCTTAGACTAATGGTGGTGTTAGCAAGTATTGCCATGTACAAAGAGGGACTTAATAGGGATCAAAGAAGGGATATTAGGGGATGGTATTTTTTATATCTTAAGGCATCCTAAGAATGCTAAAGTGTGGTTATGGAATGACCATATGTGAATTTATGTTTTATGTAAATTTTTATAATAATTTAATTAAAATTAGATAATCAAAGTATATAAAATTTGTAAATATAATGATTTTATAGAGCATAAATATTTATGGTGACTTTGAATAAGCTTTCCAATGAATATAAAGTAAGCAACACCTGAAGTGGAGAAGTAGTATGTTCATTAAAAAGTGAGTGTAACATCATGACTACTGACTTAAATGAAATATTTAATATTTTATTCTCCAAGTATGATACAATGTTGCTTAATAGAGGATCTTTCTCTTACTTCATTTGATTGCTTTCCACCATTCTGCTCCAGTTTCCATTACATATATTATAAGATTACCATTGTCTTTTGGGACTAAACTAGTTCTAATATTGCAATGATGACAAAATACATCATTTCCCCATACTCTATTATTA